AAAATACCGCAGAGCAACATTCGGGCATCGTGTTACGGTTTCATTGGCCGTTTGAAGACCATAATTCGTGCAAAAGGTGTCCAATTCTAACAAATCTAAACTTTTTCTAAAATTTGATGCTATTTCCGATATTTGTTGATTTCATTCACAAAAATTTAAAAAAAAAAATTAAAAATTATGGCGTTTGACTTTGTTGCAGATTTTTTATCTCACCCCATATACGAATTCCTGGCGTTTAGGTAAGATTTAGACCCTTGACGTCTTTTAGGAACTTTAGTAGAATTTTATGAAAAATAATTTTGTAGAATATTTTGACTTGCTACGATCCCGTTTATGGGGAGGTTTTAGACATATTCTAAAAAGGACCAAAAAAGACCCAAATCTTGACCGGCACGAGGGCTAAAATTTTAAACCAAAATTTTCTTTTTTTCTATCTGCCGAAGACACTATATATCTTAAATTCCTGGATTCCGAGGAATCTTACTCCGAAATTTGGAAAGGGGGGAGCTGTGATGAATAGAACTGACCACACCTTCTGGTACCTCCCCCACATAGGGGCCAACATTTTAAATAATCACAAACCACATAAAAGGCGAAAGAAGCATCCAATTCTTTTCAAACTTCACATATCCCAATATTTCGATCAACACAAGATCTGGTGTGAAGATGAGATATATTGTTCGGGTATCTCCCCCCACATGTTGACAACTAAAACATTTTGAATAACCAAAACGCTTAGAAAACGTAAAACTATCTTCTGGAACTCTTCAAATTTCACACACCTCAGTATTTCTATCAACACAAGATCTGGTGTGAAGATGGAATATATTGGCCCACTCTTTCTGGTACCTGCCCCATATAGGGTCAACATTTTTAATTTCAATTCAAAAACCCAAATTTAGGCGCTCCTTGAAAAAAAAATATATATAAATTTTTTTTTTAATTTTGAAATTGGTAGCCTCGAAGGCCACTACAACCCACTGTAGGGTATTTTCGGTGAATGGAAATCTTTGAGAAAGAATTAATTGAAAAATAATTGATTCTTTATACAATATATATTCAGAGCCCAGCAATGCCCTCTTAATAGAATTAATCGATTTTCCATGACATTCACGATGGAGTTCCTCTGCCTACATCTTCTTCTACTGCTGCTGTTGTTAGACTTTCAAAAAGCCCTGACTTTTGGTAGGTCCTTTTTCCCAAAAACCTTTGAAAATTTTATATTAAATCTCATTTTTAAGGACGTTTTATGAACTACACCAAGTCGGAGATAAATTTCAATACCAAGTACATCACGAATATGACCACCTGGATTGACAAGGGAATGTTGAACATAGATTTGAATACGGCAAGAATTTTTGACTACGGCCTGCGTGGCAGTATTATGGTCCACATTAGAATGGAAAATACGGAAAATTATCAGCGTCTGTTCGCGTATGATTTTGATGTTTGCAAGGTATTGAGTGAAATATCACGGGCCAGTATTTTAAGTCTTTGGTATCGTACGGTGTTGAAATATGGTAATATTATGGAAAATTGTCCAATACCTGAGGTAGGGAGGGGAGGGTTTTTTTATTTCCACAAAATTTATTGATTCGATGGGGGGATTCTATTTTTTCTAGGGCCACTACTATGTGAGTAATCTACGTTCGGATGCCAATGGCCTGCCAGTATTCCTGAGACCCGGAGACTATCGCATAACATCGTTGAACTACTATGGCAAACGTAAGACTAAATCATTTGAACTGGTTTTACGCTTCGTTGCCGGCATGAGAATTTATTGAGGGGATTATATTCGAAATATGTCTTTTTTATGTATAAAATAAAAATAAATTAATAAAAAAAATACATTTGAAAAATAAAAAAAATATTTGAAAGAAAAAAAATAATAAAAAGAAAAACTATATAAAAAATCGGCATCAATTAATAAATATTTTTTTTAATATTTTTGGGTCATTGAAAATAAAAAAAAAATTATTATAAAATAAATATATAAAAAATTATTTAATCATAATGTATAAAATATAAAATAATCATAAAAAATAAAATAATCATTATATATAATAATCATAAAAATAAAAAATAATAAAATCACTTAAAAAGGAATTTTTTAATAGCATGAGTTTTTGCAACTTGTATATTTTATATAAAAAATAAATTAAAAAAAATAATAAAAAATGAATGTTTTTTAGATTTTTTTTGGGTATATAAAAATATATCTATCTAAACAAAATTCATTTTTGTTAAGAGCAAACATTAAATAAATTTAATAAAAAAAATAAAAAAAATAACTTTTTTAATTTAATTTATTAATTATAAATATATATTTGTAGAAGTAAAAATGCTGTAAGTTCGGCTGGGCCGAACTTTGAATACCCAACACCATTTGGAACGAATTTGGCAATTCTCAAAAAAATAAAATCCTTTAAAAATTCTGTTAAAATCTTAAAAATACCGAATGTAGCCGTTATATTAGGATCTATACGACGACGTGGACCTGCATCAACAAAATCTTGAAAATACCGAAAATAGGGGGGTACTATTATATGGAGGCTATACCAAAAAGTCCACCTGCTGTTATAGGCTGTAGAATCCATTACGAACTTCTAATACCAAAATTTAAAGCAATTCCGGTGAAAAATGTCGCCAAAATCAGCAAAATACCAAAAATCTCGGGAGGTACCGTTATATGGTGGCTATACGAAAACGTGAACCTGCACTGACAATTTTCTGTCATAGGCTGTAGTAGCCATTGCGAACATCAAATACCAAATTTGAAATAATTCCGGTGAATAATATCGCTAAAATTATTAAAATACCGAATATGGGGAGGTACCGTTATATGGGGGCTATACCAAAGCGGGGACCTGCACAGACAATTTTCTGTCATGGGCTATAATATCCATCACGAACTTCAAATACCAAATTTGAAACAATTCTGGTGAATAATGCCGATAAAATCATAAAAATGCCGAATATCGGGAGGTACCGTTATATGAGGGTTATAAGAAGACCTGGACCTGCACAGACAACTTTCTGTCATAGGCTGTATTAGCCATTACGAACTTCAAATACCAAATTTGAAACAATTCCGGTAAATAATGTCGCTAAAATTATCAAAATACCGAATATGGGGAGGAACCGTTATATAAGGGCTACAAGAAGACGTGAACCTGTACCGACAATTTTCTATCATAGGCTATAATATCCAGAACAAACTTCAAATACGAAATTTGAAACAATTCCGGTGAAAAATGTCGCTAAAATCATCAAAGTACCGAATATCAGGAGATACCATTATATGGGGATCTACATGACCCATTTTCAATACCAAAAGTCCTGCAGACATAATATACCTTAGAGTAAAATTTTATCAACCTACTTAATTTCGTTCGGAAGCTAGAATGATTTCCACAGATAGACGGACATCGCTAAATCGGAATAGAATTTTATGCTGATCAAGGATATAAAGGATGAGATTAAAAAACTGCAACCATCTACAGACTGCTGTAATTTCTAAGCCACTCGTCCGACAGCTGTTAAAACTATTCCAGTGACAGCTCATTATATTGTTTACAAGCGTACAAAAGCATTTTGATCAGAATTTTCCAGAAAAAAACTTATTCGTGATGGAATTCAAGCGGGATTTCTTTATATTTGACTGGAAAACCACAAGTGGCTATCGTTTAGGGCACTCCAGCATTTAAATGTGAATAAGACTTTTGTGCCTCGTACCATCGCTCGTTACCGTGATACTGATACTGGTAGCGTAGCCCGACGTCAAGGAAGTGGACGGAAGAAAACAGCAACATCAGCAGAAATGGTTCAAAACGCGAAGAAGCGACTTGATCGATATCCGCATCGCATTGGACGAAAAATGGCTCTTGAGCTGAACATATCGCAATATTCCATTCGAAAAATATTCAAAGATGACGGGTTAAAGCCATTGAAATTCCAAAAAGTACAAGAACTTACACCGCAACAGAAAGAAAATAGACTCAAAATAGCTAAAAAGTTATTTCGGTCGTCCGAAAGTGGTGAACTGCCGAATTTGGTTTTCTCCGAAGGGAAAACATTGTTGTCCAGCAGTTTGTAAACAAACAAATTGATCGTATTTACTTGCCAAAGAGGTGAGCTGAAAATGTGAACATTCGGTTGGCCACCAGAACTCAAGCGCCGGCCATGGTGATGGTGCGGACCGCCATAACAGCCGATGGTCGCTTTCTACTCGTATAAATCGACCATGGCGTCAGAAGAAATGCCGAGAAAATATTCTGGAGAGTTTATTAAAGCCTTAAGCACGCAAGCATTTTGGCTGCAGACCATGGACATTCCAACAGGACTCAGCAAGCGCCACCCAAGAATGGTTACAAAATTAGGCTCCTCGCTTCATTTCCAACACACAATGGCCACCAAAATCTCCGGATACCAATCCGTTGGACTATTGTGTCTGGTGTATTTCGGAAAGCAAGGTTGGCACTAAAAAATACCAAAGTGTCGATCATCTCAACAAGCGCTTCGCCGGGAATGGGTCAAAATACCGCAGAGCAACATTCGGACAGCGTGTGACGGTTTCATTGGCCGTTTGAAGGCCATAAACCGTGCCTAAGGTGACCAATTCCAACAAATCTAAACTTATTCTAAAATGTGACGCTATTTCCGACATTTTTTGCTTTCATTCAATAAAATTTAAAAAAAAACGAAAAAGTTATGGCGCTTGACTTCGTTGCAGTTTTTTATCTCATCCTGTATATATGATGTTCTAAGAACTTCAATTTTTTAAATTATTTTTTGTTTTGAAAAAAGAATACTGACTGGGGATTTTCTTTAAAAACATTTTTCCAAAGACCAAAATAATGTGCATTTCTATAACAGTATTTTTTGGAATTTTTAAATTTTTTTTATAAATATTCTTTTTTATTATTAGTTTATTTTTTTTTTTTAAAAATTCTCTACTATTTTCAGCCATACTAATTTTCATCCCTTCTTCCTTTTTCCAGGTTACCACAGCTTACGGTCTATGCCAAGATTATTTACCTCCTGATGGTAAGTACCCACACTTCTTTCAATTTTTCATAAAAAAATCAAAAACAATTCCCCCAGACAAATGACTTTTCAAATTTTGTTTCGAGTTCTCCGCCTAAGAGTACCTCTCAAACCAAACACTTTGGTTAATAATATCTCTTTCTTTACTCTTCTAACCCATAAAACAATTGAGGAAATTCCACGAATGCTTATCATCGGCAAAGTGGGTGCATGAATTTAACACACAAAAAAATCGAATCGAATCTATTTTAAAAACAATTAAATTATAACAGAAATATAACTAAATTTTATTTATTTCTATTCAAACAAAAAAAAAATTATAAATATAAATAAAATAAAAATTCCAATGGCAGTCCTACCCTACCCCAACTGACAAGTGGTTTTGCACACGCTCGCTGTTTGTGATTGGTGTTTGTTTTGTTTTATTCCAGCTTTCTTTAGAAATGTATGAAACTTTGTTTCAATTGAATCGGTTTTCCGGCAATCAATTTCACACACACACACTCACACATTCACATAGGTATGCATAGTGCAGATAATGGATGAGGGTGAGGCCCATCATCTTTTTAAATGGCGATTACAAACAACGACAATCTATCTGGGTGCAAAGTTTATTTAAAGTTTTATTTAAGTTTCAAATGTAGATAAAGGGAACAGGAAGGGGCAAAGGGGAGGGGAAATGGTGTTAAGTTTAAAATTGAAGACCCTCAGAAGGTATGCTATGCATATAAATTCTCTTGGAAGTGTTTATGGTATTTATATAGAATTTTTAAATAATTTTCCATGCCAAAACGTAGCCTTTCAAAGAGTCTAATGGCCTGGAATTTTAAAATAATTTTAAAAGGTTGCGGATTTTTATAGAATTTTTGTGTGGTAATTTAAGTGGATTTTTATTTTTTTAAGACACCATAATGTGGATTTCTGATGAATTTTTGAGGGACCCAAAATGGGTATTGTTTATGAATTTTTTTAAGTCCCCTAGACCTAAGTGTTTAGAACATTTTTGGAAGCCCCAAACCGCGAATTTTTTAGAATTCTAGGGGTGTCTTAATGCGAATTTTTGAAGGCTTCATAACGTGGATTTTTAAAGAATTTTTGAATACCTCTAAACTGGGATTTCTGAAGACCCCATTGCGTAGATTTTGAAGTAATTTGTAAAGATCTCATAACGTGGAATTTCTTAAGAATTTTCGAAGGTCTTAAGACGGGGTTTTAGGGCATTTGTGAAGAAACCATAACGTCGAGTTTAAAAGGATTTTTGAAGACCTCATTGCTTGATTTTGAATCATCTTTTAAGGGGCCACAAATTGATTTTTTTACGAATTTTCGAAGGCCTGGAAGGCCAACCTGGATTTTTAAGGATTTTTTTGCATTATTAGAGAAATAATGGATCCACTACTACGGGGTCTCAAAGAATATCTGAAGCCCATATAGCAGGCCCTCAATTTATTTATTTTTATTTATTTATATATTTTGAAATATTTGATTATTTGAAATCAATTTTTTTTTAATTTTTGGAGACCCAATAACGTGAAATTTCTAAGTAATTTTTAAAGACCTTATAACCTGTTTTTTTTTTCGAATGTTTGAAGTCATCTGGAATAGAATTTTTGAGGAAATTCTGAAGTCCCTATATAATTGATTTTGAAAGAATTTTTGAAGATCCTTTAAAAAGGATTTCTTCTGGGATATTTTACACATTTTTAAAACTCCACAACATATTTTTTCCGAATTTATAAAAGACCTTTAAAGTGAAATTATATATGACCTGTGACGTTGATTTTTCAGGGCCTTATAACGTGGGTTTTAAACGAGAATCTGTTAAAGAATTTTTAAAGGCTATTTAAAAGCCCAACAACGTCGATTTTTTAAATTTTTTTCCTAGAAATTTTCAAGATTTTTATGGTCTTCACAACCTAAAATTTTGAAACGATTTGAAATACCTTATGACGTAGATTTTTTTTTTAATTTTTTAAGGCCCTTTGAATCGTATTTTTGACGAAATTCTGAAGGACCCGCATAAAATCTAGAGGGTTGCTAACAAATATTTTTAATTTTTTTTTTTATTATTTGGAATTTTGAAACGATTTCACCAGAGTCTCTAGAGGTGTTATAACATGGGTTTTAAGTAATTTTCCACGATTTGAAGGGGCCACAGAACATGGGTTTTTTTCTTGGAGACCCTAGAACGAAAATTTCTTTAAAATTAGGAAAAAATCTTTTGAGAGGCCCCTGACGTCTTTTTTAAGATTTGTTTATGAAACACCTCGAACTATATTCTTGATCAGCAAAAAATTCTATGTCGATTCTATGTCCATCTGTCCGTCCGTCTGTCGGTCTATTCATCTCTCCGTCTGTGGAAATCACTTTAGCTTCCGAACGAAATGAAAATAGGTTTATAAAATTTTACTCCAATGTATATTATGTCTGCAGGACATTTGGTATTGAAAATGAGGCATTTAGGTCCACGTCTTCGTATAGCCCCCCCATATAACGGTACCTCCCGATATGCGGTATTTTGATGATTTTAGCGACATTATTCGTCGGAATTGTTTTAAGTTTCCTTTTTGAAATTCGTAATGGTTACTGCAGCCTATGACATAAAACTGTTCGTGCAGGTCCACGCCTTCGTATAGCCTCCATATAACGGTACCTCCTGATTTTGGGTATTTTGATGATGATATTACCTACATTATTCACCGGAATTGTTTGAAATTTGTTATTTGAAGTTCGTAATGGATACTACAGCTTATGGCAGAAAATTGTCTGTGCAGGCCCACGTTTTGGTATAGCCTCCATATAACGGTGCCTCCCGATATTCGGTATTTTGATGATATTAGCGACACTATTCACCGGAATTGTTTGAAATTTAGTATTTGGAGTTCGTAATGGTTACCACAGCGTTTTACAAAAAAAAAATCGTAAGCAGGTCCACGTCTTCGTATGGCCCCCATATAACGGTACCTCCTGATATTTGGTATGTTGATGATTTTAGGAACATTTTTCATCGAAATTGTTTCAAATTTGGTACTTAGAGACCTTAATGGATAGTTCAGCCTATGACGGAAAATTGTCTATGCAGGTCCACGTCTTCGTATAGCCCCCATATGACAGTAACTCCCGACATTCGGTATTTTGATGATTTTAGCGGCATTATTCACCGGAATTGGTTCAAATTTGGTATTTAAAATTCGTAATGGATACTGCAGCCTAAGACAGAAAATTGTCTGTGCAGATCCACGTATAGCCCCCAGTGGTAGATTTCAGATTTGTTTTTTTTTTAGAAAATTCAAGTTCCTTCCAAATGGTGAAGGTCCACTTCGTCGTATAGACCCTAATATAACGGCTACTTTAGGTATTTTTAAGATTTTAACAGAATTTTCAACGGATTTTTTTTTTTTTTTTTTTGCAAATTGCCAAATTTATTTCAAGTGGTGGAGGGTATTCAAAGTTCGGCCCGGCCGGACTTATAGCTTTTTTACTTGTTCTTTCTGTGCAGTAAATTATTTTCTTTGAAAATATTAATATTGACATTTTGTGTGGGAGGTAACAGAAGACGTGGCCCATCTCCGAACTCGATCTAAGTTTGACAATAATATTACGATGTATCAAGTTTCTACCAAATCGGTATTTTTCCTTCGAGAATTATCGTGCGCACCAGCCAGACAGAAAGACAGATGGACTGACGGACCGACATCGCTAGATCAACTCCCTAATGATTCTGAAACGGATTTGGTGCAAAGAGACCTAGGAACCGTTATTTCGATGAGGCACGTTTTGGTCGTATTAAATAATATATACCCTCTCTAGCCATATGACTGAGGGTACAAAAACTCTCAAAATCCCAGTATTGGGAACTTGAAAATTCCTTAAAAATCCAAAAATTCCTCCTTAGATAAATAGAAAATCTAAGGAGGAATTTTTTAGAATTTTGGACTTTTAGAAAATTATTATTTCAAAAAGCCTCATTGTTTGTTGAGAAATTCCCCTTCTGCCCCAACGATGTAATAAAACAAAAAATTGGAAACCCATGCAAAAATGAAAAATTCTTGTCTTATCACTTACATTTGGTAATAAATAATTATCAGCCAATCGTCATGGCCAAAGAATGCCAAAAATGCGATTACAACAACAAAAAAATGTCTGGCAAAACGTGGCCAATATTTCCACGAACCAAAGCGAGGCAAGAGATAGCGTAGAGAGACGTTGATCGAAGGTGACAAAATATTTTTGTTGTTGTTTTTTTTTTTAAAGAAACCCAAAAATTTACACTTGGTAACAAAAATTTGGTATGGGGTGGGGTGAGGTGCTGTGAAACCCTTTTTACCCATCATCACCCACAACCAAATATTATCTTCACCAAAGACGACCGGTCGAGCAGACAATCTGCCATGGAAAAAAGGTGCGTCGCACTTCACACTTGGCACACAAACACGTTCGAACGAACAACACCAACAACGAAATCACAGGAAATAATTTATAAATTTGTTGTTGTTGTTGTAATGTTGAAATCGTTGTTGAAAATAAAGAATTATGCTTTGCACCAGCCAAACAAATGGCTTGTCATAGCAAAGCTTATCTTTTTGCCGCTTAACGGTGGGAAGCAACACCTTTGGCTGGCTGGTTGGTTGGATGAATGGTTGGAGTTGGTGCGTATACGCACTGTAACCAGTTGAGATGGGGGAAGCATTACGGCCTGGAGCCAAGCAATAATAATCGCCCAATGAAATCAGCATTGCAAAGCACCGATGATATCTTTGATGTCCGTTTGGCTGGAGCGCCAGCACAAGTAATACATTAAAGGAGAGGATTTGTGGTGGGGTGGAACGGAGAAAGGAAGGGGGAAAGTGGTGACCAATAAATTTCATGTATGTCTGTTCCCTTGCTAAAGTGTGGGACCTCTTGGTCCCTATTGCTGCTGCTGCTCTTCTCTGGGCTGGAATTGTAGCCTGCCTTATGTCTTGTATCTCATATCGAGCATGTTTTCCTCCAGCACCACC